GGGGGGGTTTAAAGAAATGGGGTGTGCCCCCCCCCCCCCCCCCCGCACGTAGATGAGTAGCCTGTGGCCCCATCCTGCTCCCAGCCTGGATCCCATGCTGCACCCCCAGTCCCTGCCCCACTCCCTCCCTGCACATATGCACATGGGCCCCCTGCATCCTGCTCCCCGCAGCTCCAAGCAGCCCCTTGTAGGCTAGAATGCATCCTGCCTGCAAGGGGAAAACTGCCATTTCCTCAGGGAAACCAGGCTCTCCGGCCCTGGGCCCCACTGGTTCATGCATTAATTTGTTTATGACCAGCACGGAGACAGCTCCGTATTTGATGCTGCTCCCCAACACCAGCCACTCTCTCAGGGCAGGTCTAAGCTGGTCAGAAAAGGGCTGAGGTGGAAGTGCTTCCCATGGGCCTTCCCTACAGGCGTGGCCTCTTCATGTTTCGCTGCTTGAACAGGGCTGTACTCTCAAAACTTTGCCTGTGTTTTCTGGGAATGAAGGTCCAGCACTGCCATTCCCAGCCAGGAGACCTGGTGTGTTTGTCCTGTAGCCTTGCATGCTGGCCTGTTTGGTCATGGTTACAAGTCTGGTTTATTTAAATAGCTGCTTCCTCCCTCATCTTCTTTCCAGCAGGTGCCCCTCTGGTATCACAGGTGAAAGGCAGCTCCATTCAAATATTAGTGCCACATCTTGTTCTCACACTCTTCCATATCAAGTTTCTTGTGCTTCTTGACTAATTCATATCAAATGCAAAACATGAAACAACTGTGCACTGCTGTAACCAGGGACTGACTTGCGTCGTATCCTTTGAATCTGCAGTTTTTCCAAGACATTGCAGAATTCAGTACATTTTGCTGTGAGATTTGCCAGCTTGTTGCAGGGTATATATATATATATTTCTTCTTTATTGTAGTAGTTTATAAGAACCTCGGTCCTTCCGTTGTGGACCTTTATTTCACTAGGTATTGTACAAAAGATGGTCCCACCCCATGGTGTTTTTTTCCTGTGACTTGTCTGTAATTGTGCTGTCCAGCTTTTCCTGCTGTGGGAGCTTAATTAGATGCTTCCTGCTGCAGGTGCTTAGGAAGACGCAGCAGGAGTGGATCGAGAGGGTGTGCTGTGCAGTGGCACAGCTGTCCTTCCTTTGGAAAGGAATGGGCCACAGTGCAAGGAGCCCCTGGGGACTTTTAAAAAAGTCCTTAAATAAGAATTCTGTGTCTCCCCCACCCCTTCTCCTGCATTCTCAAAGGCATGTGCCCTCACCCTCTTCCCCAGCATGCTGCTACTGCTTTTCTTGCTGTCTATGAGCAGGAAAAGCTCCAAAGCCACTTGGAACTGCATGCAGACTGGACTTAGCTGGGAATAGCCACAGTGGTGGCAGCAGCGATATCGGGGCTGGGTTGCCCCACTCTGCTTGGTCCCTCCAGGAGTGGGAGGGACCAAGCCCATTGTCCCCAGCCCATTGCCACTGCTGCTGTTCCCAGCTGAGCCCAGCTTCTGTAGCCTGGCTGGAGCAGTCAGGAGCAGCTTTGAAGCTTTCCCTTCCCCCAGGACAGAGGGGAAAGCAGCAGGCAGACAGGGGAGAGGGGAGAAGACATGCCTTTGAGACTGGATGAGAGTCCAACTTGTAGAAAGTGAACCAGAAATGCTGGCTAGCTGGCTTGACTTGCCCTCCTCCAAGGGCAGCACAGCAACAGGATACAGGGGAGGTAAGGAGGTGCTCAAGCAAGCTACAAGCTCCTCACTGGTGGCCATGGTGAACAGTCCTGGGACTGAAGTCTGGAAAACCCTTAGACTTGAAGAAGAAGAGAGTGGAGACAGGCTGCCTGGACCAGACAGTGGAATATTTTCCTTGGCAAATTTTAGATCCCTGAGTATCTCTGTAACCCACATGTTAAAAAAAAACAAACAAAGAAGTTAAAGATTGTATTCAAAGTTGTCACTTTGTGTACATAGAGGTTGGAGATTAGCTACATTCTCTTGCCAGCCTAGTTCATCTTCCTACCAAAATGTGCTTTGTTGTATAGTTTTTCTCCGACTTCCCATTTTTACAAGTGTAAGCAAAGATTTCTTTTTAAGTACAGGAGTTGCTCAGGGTGATGAGGACAATTGATGACAGGATAGTCCATGAATTAAATACTACACTTCCAACAGCTTCCTTTGCAGGGAAAATCGATGCCAAGCAAACCTGTCGAGAGCTCTACAAATCTGTAAGTATATCTGCTTCTTTCTGTCCCAATCCCTGATGCTTTATTAAATACAGAGTCTAGTGAAGCAGAGCACCACATCCAGAGAATTACTGGCCTGACATGTAGCACACTATGCATTCCTAAGTGACCTACTTGATCTTTTATAGTCCCATGCATGTAACAGTTACTTAACAGTAGATACACCATGCACGTTTCTTTTGCTTTACAGTAATGTTCCTTTAGGATATAGTTCTGACCTCCGTGTGGTGATAGATAGTCCGTTCATTGTCTCCATATAAATAGTGGTGCTGGCATATTCCTGTGTTACTTTCCTGTAAATATTTGATTCCCATCTGCTGTCACTTGTTAAATTCAGATACTTGCTGCCTTGAGCATCAAAGGGAATCAAACTATAATGGCAAGTAGCACCTCTGACTCAGTGAAGTAGCGGAGTGAGGTGTGGATAAGAATCAGGTACAAAGTACATAAACAACAAAGCAGGAGGGTTCATCAATGGGAAGCACCCCAGGAGAGTTGTAACCTCAAAATTGGGTGTGGGTGGTCATAGTACAACCCTCCTGTCTGTTGCCCCACGTACTTCATTGTCAGAGACAATCTGTCTAAATGACTTGTACCCCATGGCAAAATTCAGTGATTGTTGCTGGATGAGAGGGGAGAGTTTGCATGAGACATTCTCTAGTTACAGAAAGCAAGATAATACAATTTTAATAGCTTTGTCTGTCCCTGCTGATATTGTGGTTTTATAGTACCTGCTTATAAAGTTTCTTCATAGCATGTAGTATGAGGCTGGCAGTGGTAAAGAAGCATGGTAAAGAAGCCAATATAGTTATATTACTGGAATTCATTTCCTTACCTGCTTTAGAATGGGAAGTAAGACCTGCCCCCAAAGGCAGTTGTCAGTTTATAAGGAGCAGGATCTGCTTTTGGGAGAGGGAAGGGGTATTCTTCTTCCCTGTAATGTGTGGAAATGAGCTGTTCCACAGGCAGGAGGAGAAGAGAAGTATTTGTGGCAAAACTGATACCATCAGGGTGATCTTAGTTCATTGTCAAGGTACAGCTATTTAGGCATCATCTTTTTTTGTCTTGTTTTTGTGATTTGAGGGTCTTTCTCTTTCTTCTCTTGGGACATTTAACTTGTTGCTTTCATTCCCCCCCATACTCACCAACTAGCTGATGGAGGCTCATACCAGCAGGGAGAGGATGATCAAAACTTGCATTGCTCAGACTTCCAATGTAGTAAAAGCTCTCCAAGAAGAGAGAGAGAAGGCTGAGAATGATATAGCATTGTTAAAGCAACTGAGAAAAGAGCAGACAAAGGTAAGTGGTAACATTTTAAGTCACAAAGGAAGTGTGTGTGTGTGGGTGTGTGTGTGGGTGTGGGTGGGATGAGGTGGGGCATTGTCTCTAAAAGATTGTTGGCCTGTATTGAAGTCTAGCTGCGATGAATTTGATCTAAGAAGTCTGAAGATTTGTGAATTTGTTTGGAGCAAGGATCAGCTTCTTCAGGCAACAAGACAGTACTGCCTACATTCTCTGAATGTCCTGCTTCAACCCCTGGTTGTGCTGGTATACACAAAGATAAATGCGCACGGTGTACCCACCTAATAATTAATCTAGTCAAAACCTGCTAGCACCAGATAAGCTAAAAATGAAGGCCATTTCATATTCATATTTTCTGTTCACTTTCAAACGCCTGCCAGTGTGTTACATCTTTTCAGAACTTGAGAAAATTAATGCATCCAAGAATTTGAAAATACATTCAATAAAACACAAACATTAGAAAACTAGGAAGTTTCAGTGTTTGAGTACTGCCTTTTGTACCACACCTTGGTGCAGCCTTAAATCAGGCCTCTTGTATCATTGCTGTTATTCATGCTGTGGGTAGATGGGGCATTGCCACCCCATCACTCAATCTGTTAATTGGTACTTGTACTCAGTTTATCTGTAGTATCAGCCTATAATCACGTCCCTGGCAGTTTTGATTTGCAGTATTTTTGTGTATGTAATACAAATGCCAAGTAGAGAAATATTTTCCAGACTTCACTAAGCAAGCTTGAGTCTGAATGAAATTGTCATAGCTCACAAATCTCCAGAAAAGAGGATTTGAATTTGTGTTTTCAAAACTCCAGGACCAGTTCCTGTTCTCCAAGGTATGGTTTGTGTGGGTTATGCAACCTATGTTATTTAAAAAAAAAAAAAAAAAAAAAAAAAGATGGCCACAAACTTCTGGAAGATAGATTCAGGTTCAAGATTAGGAAAAACTTCTTCACAATCAGGGTGTCCAGACTGTGGAATAAGCTCCCTCCAAAAGTGGTGCAATAGCCTACCTGGAAATCTTCAAGAGGAGATTGACCCCAGTTACCTTTCCTGCTTTGTGCAGGGGGCTGGACCTGATGATCTTCCAAGGACCCTTCCGGCCTTACAATTTATGAATCTATGACCTCAGTAACTTAGAGCAAGTGTCCTTACCTCCAAGGCCTCACCAAAAAATCCTTACTAGAGCCTGCTAAATCAGCCAAGAATAGTGTGATAACTGTTGAGTTTCAAAACTGGTTCCTAGTATCGCTGGACAGCCAAGCTAATGGATAGTCCAGTGGTAAATTTTTGAGAGGTTCACAGTAATAGCGTTTTCTAGTGTGGGGGATGGGGTAGCAGTTATGAAAACTATTCAAACCAGATCACATTTTTACACATTTTTTTATCTTTGAAACCACGAGCCAAATGACTAAATATTTGTTGGACATAAATGTAGCGAATATTCAAGCCAATCTGGACTTTAGTTTTACCTCTATAGAGAGATTTTTTTTTTCTTGCTCAGTGTATGACTTTACGTTTAACCACACTGAAAATGTGTGCTGTTTGATTACAGTCAGCTACTAGGCAATCCAGATCACTCCATGTCTTATTGTCTTCATTATTTACCAGTTCTCCCAGTTTACATTATCTGCAGATGGTCTCTGAAATTACTTTGTTGTTTTCAGCCTATAGTCTGTGAACCCTTTTGGGTCCACAGACTATGTCTAAGATAACTATGATATATAGTTATGTGAATATCTATATATATAGTATGTGAATATCTACACTTATAATTCAAACAGGTCTGCACCTTCACTCAAAATTTGCAAAGGGGGCCATACCTCCATTCAAATTTTTTTAGGGGTTTGCAAATGAAAAAAGATTGAAAATCACTGTTTTAAGTCATTTTAAAAAATAAATGACATAGGGCCAAGAACAGATCCTTGCAGGGATGCCTCTAGAAATGCTTCCATTCAGTTATTTTTCCATTTGCAATTATTCTTTGAAGTCCATTCTTAAGCCATTTAGTGCATTGTTACTTTTTGTATTCTAGTATCTTAATCAAATTGTCGTGTGGTATGAATTCATATACCTTCAAGGTCTATATCCACATCATCATTACTATCTTTATTGACTGAACTTGTAATCTTATTTAAGAAAAAACAAATTAGTCAGAAGAGATGTAGTTTCCATAAACCCATGGTGACTAGCATTACTCTGATGTTTTATATTATGTTGCAGCAGTAATAACAGTCCTCATCTCCCTACTTAACGATGAGGTGTCTTTGGGCAATATACTTTGTAGTTCTGCATCTTGGTTGATTGTGCATTTTTAGAAATAGGTTAGACAAATACTTGTATTAGATGATTTGGATAGGGATGACTGTCTTGAGCAAGGGCCTGGCCCACATGACCTCTGAAGGACCTTTCCAGCAATACTCTTGTTTTTACTTTCAATTCCATCTTCCTTCCGCATCAAATCTTGTATTCACTTATTTTGCTTAGAATCAATGCTTAGAATCAATGTCAGGTTAAGACCTAGCATTCCCCACATCATTCCATTTGCTTTAATAGTTGGTGCAGCAGTACTTTCTTCCAGCTCTATGCAACTTTAATGCTCCAGAGAGTTCATTTCCTATCACCTGAATAACTTGCATCCAGAAGTTTTTATGTCTGACAATGTCTAACTTTAGTGTAGCTGCTATTTAACATACCCCCTTGTTGGGAGAGATTGGAGAGTCTGATTACTTCATCTTTTGCTTCTTCCAATTTGGATTTATTGAACTTAGCGCTGGAATCACAGGTCTTATCAATCCATCATGATCTGCTCACTGAAATCAAAGGGAAGTTTTCTGTCCACATCTAAAGTCACTGAGCCTATCGGCATACATGTTCTCTTACTAAAGTAACTTGAACAGCAGTATTCTCTGATAGTACCATAAATCTTTCTCAGGTAGGACATCTTTAGGAAATGGTAAATATTTTCTGTTTGGATATTTTGTAAAGGCTGTGATCCTTATCAACCTGTCAGGTTCTTAAAGATGGATTATAATTTAAAACAGTCTGGAGTCTTTGAGTAATGTCACCTAGTGGTTATATCAGCACTTCAAAAATATCCATTTCTGTTTATCCAGACTTTGAGGTTTTTGAAGGGATTACTTTGTCTGTTTTTGCCATTTGTGGAACAAACAGTTTGACCTAAGAGCTTAAAGTAGTCATTGATCCTTTAGCACAAAGGTCATATTCTTTTTTCTTAAAGGTGCTGGCTAAGATTTGCTTTTAAGAAATGAGAGCCTTAGAGAGGGATTTTATAAGGTACAAAAGGCAATTCAGTCCTAAATTTCTCTATGATTGACTTGCAAACTGTATTTTTAATTTTACCCCAGTTTGTATAAATGTTTTGATTTCACGTTACCAGTTTTGTAGGACTCCCTTTGTTATTCAGTGTGCTGCCCGAAAGACAGAGTTTTTTCCAATTTAAACACTGAAATGGAACCTAGGAAAGCTTTTAGTTTTGGCTGTGCTGCAGACTTCCTGTGTGACTTTAATAATGCATATGGATGAGGGACCAAAACTAAGGTTGCACAGCTAACCTTTATTTTGTAATAAATAATTTAAGTGCTTGACACTTCAGCCTTAACTTAACCTACCTGCTATAGGGGCCTGTTTATTACTTATTAATTTGCACAAACAGTACTCATTGGAGAAAGATGTTGCTTCTCATTAACTATTCCTACCAGGCAGTTGCCTTCATGGATCTATATTTTTAACTCTCCTTATTGCAGGCATACCTGATTGGGGTGCTGGAATGGCAGCAGGAGAGCAAGGGCCTTCAAACTTGTGGAGTGCAGCAGAGGCAGAATGCAATTGTAAGAGAGGTGTTGCTGTCAAAAGTTAGGTTAACCTCCCTTGGCCCTGCAACTGCTTCAGTTTTATATTGAGTGAGACTCCAAAGCCCTGAATTTGGTGGCAACTGCAAGGATAGGGAAGGATTAACCTGGCTCTTGACAGTGACACCTAATACCACCTCCTGCATCAGTGTTCTTCTTCCTCACGTATATGCCTACTCTGTGTTGTGAAGGCTCAAGCCCCCCTGGGACCTCTCTTTACTGGAAGCTTGGGACTTGTGTGCCACTCACAGCAGCTGCCTGTGCCATTTCTGGCACGTGTGTCACAGGTTGGCCACCTCTGTCTTACTAGCACAGGGGTGGGCAGTTACTTTTGGTAAGCCATTGAGGGCTGCATGATAGGCAGCCAGGGGCAGATAAATATTAATTTTCTAAATTTTTTAGGGGCCCTATGGGCCGGATAGAATGGCCTGGCGGGCCGCATCCAGCCCTTGGGCCACGTTTTGCACAACCCTGTATTAGCATCTTCAGTCTTTGATAGATCCTTGGTTGAGTGGCAGGAAGTGTAAAACTCATTTACTGTAGGCTTGAGTCTGTACCATGAAGGAGGATGCTTGCCTGTGCTTGATGGGCGCAATGAGCAAGGAAGTTTTCATGGTATATGAGTAGATTGGAGGGCTGGTCATTCTGGTTATTGTATTGTCTGACTAATGAGTGTGTTTTGTCTTCTTTCTCATTTTCTGCAGTTGAAATTGATGCAGTCAGAGTTGAATGTTGAAGAAGTGGTAAATGACAGAAGCTGGAAGGTACTGGACAATTATTATATTAAACATAAATCATATTACTTATGACTTCTATCTGTATGTTCAGAATGATGTGTGATCATGATGCGTGAAAGGGTAATGGGGCAGGTGTCTAGTGAGGTGGATGAACTGGCAGGCAGGTAGTTCTATGGATTCATCACTAAAGTCATGGCTGTATCTCCTTTTGTGGCCTTCTCTGACAGAGTTGGGAAGGTAACATCCTTCCTTTCTCCCCCTTCTTCCCCACATCCTCAAAGGTGTGTGTGTTCGGGAGGGGGCACAGGGGAAAGTACATTACGATTCCTGTTACCAGGAGTCTCATCTTCATCATCAGGGATCCTGGTTTTCCCTGATGAAAAATTGCAAATTCTCTAATTTAAAAATCCCCAAATTCGTGATTAAATGAAAAGCCTTAGTACACTTAGTACACACACGCACACACCTGCACACACCCACCCCCTGGTTTTTGTTCTGCGCTGGTATAGGTTACTGGTGCTTGAGTCAACTTAGTGGCCAGCTAAGTTGATCATGAGTGGGAGCCGGGCTTTTATTAGTCCGTCTTGTCAGGTGAACCAGTGCTCCATGATATGCAGAACAAGACCCAAAATTGACATGTCTAGTCCCGCTTTTTATAATTTTGTCAGTTCATTCAGTCCTCTGGGCTTTTGTTGTGTTACCACTGTGTTTCTCGTTGAAGGTGGATTCTGGGGCGAATCTTCTTGTTTTGGTCTCTTATCTGTCTGCATTCTTCAGCCAGTCACCAACTGGTGTTTTCCTTTTCCAGAGCCACACTCTCACCCATTTCCTTGCACATACGGTGTAAAAGGAGTGAAAGGTGGAACACTTATGTCAAGCTACAGAGCAATACAAAATGGAGTTTCTTAAGGCAATGCAAAACTCAAGAACACCCCCCCCCCAAGATAATACACAAGATTAAGGCAATAGACAAAAGTCTACCTCCATGTTATTTACCTAACCTAAAGCTGGCATTTATGCCATTTGCATAACAACAGGCAACGGCAGAGCCACACAGCTGCTTGCCCCTGTCAGCTCCACGGTGCCCTGGTGATGCATCCCATGTGCATGTGGCAGAAGTGAGGGGCCCAACTGTACGCCGCTGCCCCTGCTGCTGTTGCACAGGTAGGGGGACGCTTTGTCTGGGCAACATGGTGCTTGCAGCTGCAAGGAGATCTCCATGCAGCCTTGCTGTTGCCTGCAGTGCTAGGTTGCACCCACAGGGCTGCGGAGGCCCTGGGGGAGGGCAGTAGGGCGGGAGCCTGCAGCAGGCAGCCCACCCCATCCCTGCCCCGTGCATAGAACTGGGGGGCATGGGTCACCCCTGGCCCCTGGGAGTGCACACAGCAGTGAGGAGCTGGCCCCACCCCCGCACCTCCCAGGTGAGCCACCCACAGCCCCATCCAGCTTCTTGCTGGGGCCCTGCAGCTGTGCATTGCAGCTCCAGGCCACATGCCCTACATATCACCTGGGTGGCCAGCAGCTGGAGCTCCAGCACTGCCCAACTCCATCCCTCCTGATGGGGGCCTCAATTCCCCCCTGCCCCATTGCCCCTGCTCTCCCTACTTACCTGCAGGATCTGCTCTCCATGCTGCCTGGTGGCCATGTGCATGTACATGCACGTAATGCCCCCTGCCTAACTGCCCTTCTTCTGCTCCCCCCAACCTCTTGTACGCTGGAACTCTGCCAGTTGGCACAGAGCTCTTTGCAAAGCTGCAAAATCTGTGGGTTTCTTCCCTAAAATGAGAAATCTGTGTTTTTGTCTGGTTAAAGGGGAAATATGTGTTTTACTGTTTTTCTATGGGAACCAGAAAACTCAGATCCCTGTTCATCATGAACCTAACTATAAGGAAATAGGGAACTAGCATCTGAGACTGCTTGTGTTTGATTGAACAATGCTAAGATGTTTTTCTTTAATATCAGTTTTTGTTTCTCATAGCAGTAAAGTATGTTTTATTTCTTGTTTTGTCACCAGTTTAGTGTGCAGTTTTGGACTCCTAACTTCAAACCTACTCTATTTGCCAATGAGTTAAAAGCACTGTTGCTGATATTTATAACAATACTGAAATCTATGTGCAGTAGAGCAGAGGGCACCAAACATGGCTTGCAGGCAAAATCAGGGCCATGGAGCCATATCATCCAGCCCCCGGTGCTGTCTGTGGATATCAGAGTGACCCACAAAAAGCATGCAGGGTGTGCCAGGTTGCCCTGTGCACTTTGTGGGGCACCCATTTCAGCTCACATCTTGGAGCAGTAGAAGAATGGCTGCTGTTAGCAGCACAGCATCAGAGTAACTGCATGCCACTCTTGGGCTGTGCTGCATGGCCCCATGATGGCTGGAGCAGGACCACACTGCTTGCAGTACCCACTCCAGCTCAGGGTGGATTGATTTAAATCAAGTCAATTTAAATCATAATTTAATCAGGAAGCCAAGAGCCCAATTTAAATAATTGTTTTTTATCAACTCTCCCATTGTATATTTTTTTTGTTTTTTAAAGAAAGGTGAATTTTCATTAGTGATACAACAATTAAAGGAAGTTTATTTACAACGAAATAGAATTTTTGCAGTAGATTTGGTGTATATGTTTCCACTGCTCCTTATTCTGCTCCCTTTCTCTTCTCCACACAAGAAATTAACAATAGAGTGGTGAAGCACTGGAACGATTACCTAGAGAGGTGGCGAAACCTCTATTCTTGGAGGTTTTTAAGGCCTGCCTTGGCAAAGCCCTGTCTGGAATGATCTAGTTAGGATGGTCTTGCTTTGAGCAGGGGTTTAGCGTAGATGACCTCCTAAGATCCCTTTCAACCCTAATTTTCTATAATTCTATAACAAACCAAACTCCTTTTCCCTGGGTGCATTTACATGCATGTATTAATGTGCAGCAATAAACTCTGACACATATCATGCCAGAGCCAATTGCTCTGGGGCACTGTGTTTACCCATGTACCTGGGACTCTAGCCTGTTAAGCCAGGTTGGTGCAGCAGTGGCTGGCAGGTAGCCTGGGGGGTTAGCTTGCCAGCCCATAGCTGTTCTGACCCAGCTCAGTGTGCTGTGGAGGGGCATGAGGATGCTCCAGTGTGGGGCTAACTGGCAGGCAGTCCCTGCACTGAAGCACAGTTATGAATCAGTCACCTGGGCAGTGTCTACACATGAGCTGCTGCATGCAAAAAAGGTCTGCAGCAGGACAGTACTTGTATTTACAAGTACCGACCTTCTGTGGAGTTCATTAGTTTTCTGTAGCCTAATAGGGCCTCACGTGTAGATGCTGAGAGGTTTACTGCAGCGCTAATTAGTCAGGTCTGCAGTAAACCTCCTGTGACAGCCCACTGCACCATTCACTCACCTCCCCCCAAAACTCTAGCTCTTTACCAATTCATGATTTTTGCTGTTGTAACCCCCTAGGCTTGTGTGTGGTGGTATTTTGGTTTAGAGACATGGATAGAGCACTTGAGAAGTTAGTATTTACATCTCTGTACATGTGCAGAGGACCCAAGAAAGGCCATTTAACTGAAGTACCCAGAAGTATTCAGTAGCAGTGGTTGGTAGTTACTGAGCAGATGCTTGTTTTTTCATGAGCTGGAGAATAAGCCGCCATTAAGCATGCAGAGTCCTGTGTATTCATAATTTCAGGTGATCAGAGCTCTAATAGAGCCAATGAAACAGAAGTTTTGATGCCATCCAGGTGGGCTCTGTGGATTATCTTGATCAAGGAGGACATATGATCGTGTCTGCTGGAGTCAGAGGCCAGGTGCCAAAATCTGTGATGACTTTGCTTCTCCTTTGCATACAGTAGTTTAGACCCTGCAACCCTTGGAGGGTCAGGCCCCTAATACATAAAATGTGCCATATTTTTAAAGCTTGACCTGAGAAGTTAGATGTTTTCCCCTGATTCTTATATAGAAGAAAATCAGCCTTTAACTCAAGAGATTTTAGTGTAGAGGCTCATGGATTCAATGTGTTATTTTATTTGAATTACTTTGATAGATTGTACTACATTTATACCTTACCTTATGCTGTATTGAATTCACATTTCATTAAGCTGGTTTATTTTTAAAGAGGAAAACTTTAAAAAAATCCAATTTAAAAGTAAGAAAAATCCATGTTTTTTTAAAGGATGATTAAAAAAAAAAAAAAAAAAAAGACCCAACCCTGCTCCAGATCCAGAATGCAGGGTAGTCTGACCTGCAAACTGTCTCTGTGGCACTCATCCTGCAGTAGAGGGTTAGCCCAGTTATGCTAGGGGCTGTACCAAGGTGATGGATTCTTCCACATGTTAGGTTGCATCTGTTTATCATTTTGCAGTTAACATTCCTGTTTTGAAAGCTTTTCGTTTTTCTCCCCCGTTGCAGGGCAAAAGAAAAATGAGAAATTCTCTCTATTGTTGGTTATATGGCAAAACCAGAAACTGACTCTGTTAAATGCTGACAAGGCAGAATCAGACTAACCAGGCAGAACTGGTTTTAACAATAGTCATAATAATGGTAACCATTGTCAGAAAAGTAAGCTTGCTTGCTTGTTCTGAAGAAAAGCTACTTTTTATACTAATTATCTTTACTTTCATAGATTCATAGATTGTTAGGGCCTGGAAGGGACCTTGCAGATCATCGGGTCCAGTGCACTCTAGGCAGAAAGACAGCTGGAGTCAAGTGACCCCAGGGAGGTGACTATCCGGTCTTCTCTTGAAAACCTCCAGGGTAGGTGACCGCACCACGTCTGGAGGGAGTTTACTCCACAGTCTGGACACCCTGACTGAAGGAGTTTTTCCTGGTATTAAGCCTGAAGCAGCCTTGCAGGAGTTTGTATCCATTGGTTCTGGTCTTCCCCCGGGGTGCCCTAGTGAACAGGTGTTCACCGAGCTCCTGATGTACTTCTGTGATGTAGCGGTAAGCTGCTATCATGTCCCCTCACAACCTTCTCTTCTTTAGGCTAAAGAGGCCCAGGTCCCTCAGCCTATCCTCATATGGCTTGCCTTGCAAGCCCCTGATCATACGGGTGCTCTTTTTTGGATCCTCTGAAGTTTTTCCACATCCTTGTTGAAGTGTGGCACCCAGAACTAGACACAGTACTTCAAGTGCGGTCTCACCAGTGCTCAGTTCAGCAGGAGTATCACTTCCTTAGTTTTACATGAGATGCATCGGGTGATGCATGCCAGAACGTTGTTTCCCCTGCTGGCCACTGCATCGCATTGATGGCTCATTCATGCAACGGTCAGTCATTGCCCCTAGGTCCCTTTTGGTCATGGTGCAAGTCAGGCTGTCACCACTGAGCCTGTAGGTATGTTGAGGGTTGTTTGCCCCCAGATGGAGCACCTTACACTTGGAAGTGTTAAATTTCATCTGGTTTATCGAGAGTCTGCCCAACTCTTGAGCCTGTCCAGGTCCACCTGTATCTGCAACCCATCTTCTGACAATACGCACTGCCCCATAACTTGGTGTCATCTGCAAACTTGGCCAGCGAGCTTTTCACTCCCCCAACCAAATCATTGATAAAGATGTTGAAAAGCACCAGTGTAAGCATGGACCCCTGAAGGACACCACTGGCCACTTCACGCCAAAACAATACAGATCCATTTGTGAGAACTCCTTGGGTCCTACCCTGTAACCAGTTTCCCACCCACTGAACCGTTGAGCAGCTGAGCCCACACACTTCCAGTTTTCCCACTAGATCATTTTGTTCATTTTAAGTAGCCAGTTATTAAGAAGTGACTATTTCTGTGAAGTACTTGGAAGATTGGTGTAGCTTACCAGCAAAAGAGATGCTCTTTTATGGCAATGTCTGCCTGTGGCTTTGAGTCCAGCTATTATGCAGCCAGCAAGTAGTATTCAAAAGAAAACACACCCATGGGCACCAGCCCCTGGGGTTTGAATTTCAGGAATTGTTATAGATAAAAAAGGAAAAATACCTCATGGTATGTGCATATGTACATTTGGAACCCTTTCAAAAGGGGAACATTTCAAAGGACAGCACCTGTTAACTTCGGATTGTTCAATGTGAACAAGCTGAGAAAGATTCAAATGTAGCAAAACAGATCCAATTTTTATGATGGCCTCTTTTAAGATGGTTTTTAACTGTAGGTTCCTCCATTTTCTCTATTGGTGAAATGGGGCAAACTTCTGGGAGGTTGTAAGGGTTAATCAGTTAACATTTAAAGTGCTTTAAGATCCTTAAATGGTTTAGGGATGTGAAAGCTTAACCAATTAATCATTTAACCAATAAGTGCAGTGATAACTGATTTCAGGGGCATTGGTTATGGCTGTGTTGGTCTAAGGACATAGGCAGACAAGGTTCTTTGGGTAAATTTTGATCTCTTTTATTAGACCAGCTACGTAGTTGGAAAAATTGTTCTTTGCAAGCTTTTGGGCACAAATACCCTTCTTCAGGCATAGGGAGAGGCTGCTGGTGTTGTGTGTTCTCCTGGGTGAAATAGAAGCCAATGTGCAAAACGCAGCTCTGTGAAAATGAAAATACGTGCAGTGAGAATCAGAGGGGATGGGAGACAATAGGTGAGAGACAGGTAGGTTGGGAGGGAAAGGGGGGAATGTTGTACTGGTGATGTAATGTAGCTGGTAAAATGTAGAGAACTTACCTGGGGTTATAGGATTGTGTTACCTCTTCCCCTCCTTGCCCCCCCCCCCCCCCCAAGGGCTCTGAGAGCTGCTGTGTTATTAGTTAATCATTTAACTAATATAATTAGAGGCTAAACCAATATTTTTAATGATATTTGCATCCCTAAAATGGACAGTAGCGTTAATAAACCTGAGCTGTGAGTACTCCTGTGGCCTAAGGCAGAAAAATCATTAAATCATGTAAAGTTCAATAGAGAGTAAGTTGGAAGAAGGTAAATCCTTTTTTTAAACTTTACCTAATCCAGGGGTAGGCAGCCCCCAGCACAGGTGCCAGCATGTGGCACTGGAAAGCGTTTTGCTTGGCACGTGCCTTGGGACGGACGGCAGGATAGGGGCCAGGACTGCACTGCCACAACAAGGATCCTTGTGGTTCCTCCACCATCTGCCCCTGGCATGCTAACATCTTACAAGTCAAGGTCATGGTTGTTTTTGGCACTCTGCCCAAAAGTGTTGCTGACCCCTGACCTAAGCAGTGCAGTCAAAAGTACTAACACTTGTGGTTGTGGGTCCTTTGATTTTTATTCCAAGGCATGAAGGATTCCTAAGCATCCTAACTACTAATTTCAAAAAAGGTGGCTGGCAAGCAGTGATAATTTGAAGGCTGCAAGGCAGTATATATCCCAAGTACATCCTGAGTTTCCATATCACGATAATTTGCAGCTTATCTTTCAGTCCTTTGCTTTAACAGTATATATAGGCTATTTATCATATACAGATCAAGTAAAAAAACAACTAAAATTGAGCCAAAGTAGGACTGGCTTTGCAATGCATGTTGCAACACATATTGCAAGTCACAATTTTTCATCAAGGTTGTGGGCAAGCCTTAAAAATCACTTTCCCATAAGTAGCCTAGCCCTAGGAATAGGAGTTTTTGGAAAGAAATATTTAAAAATGATATATTTAAAATTATTTCTCTTACTTCTATGAAGTGAGACATTGTTTGCTAAAAACTACCAATAGCTAGAAGGTCACAGTCAGAATATGTCTGTGCACCCGCCGGGCCTTGATCATCCAGTCCCTCGCCACTTGGCTCTGGATTTGGATGGTGGTTCTCCACTCCGTCCCAATGGTCTTAGGGTGATGAGGTCTCACCCCAGGCAGTCTTATCCCCCCCCAATCCTGCCTGCCACGACTTTGATGACCCTCTCAGTGGTGGGGGTCCAACTGCTGGGGTTTGACTATCTCAGGCTGAAGGGTGGTGATCTTCACGAGTCTCCAACCTCCCCTGTACCTCGCCCTATACTCAGCCACAACGGAGTGCCGATGTTATTTCTGTGGTCAACCCTACCTCTACGAGATCCTGTCCCTGGGTATCGCTCGAGCCTAGGCTATACGGCAAGGACTTACTAGTCCATCTATGTCCTATGCCCTGCTGGACCTCCCTAACCACTGAGAATGTCCTAGGCTTCACGTTGCCCTCTGCCTTACTTGTTATACAAGCGCAACGGGTGATAGAAACAACAAACGACAAAAAAAAAGAGGCTAACAACAAAACTGCCTACAACTCCTGTGATCCTCTAATTACTAATGTGGGGCAGCTTAGTTACAGCGTGCCCCACAATTGTACCGTCCCTCCACCGTCTGCTCCCTCGGTGCCACCTATTTTCTACCCCGAGTGTGGAATGTATGAAGCCAACCCTTGACGTCCCTTCTGACTTGGAGTAAACCTTCCTCTGACGGACTCTTCCGGGTCTTCAGTCCAGTGTTTGTTGGTTTTTGCTAGTCTCTTGGCCGTTCACCTCTCCTCTGGGTGGATCGCTGGAGCCGGGCTCTGCCTGTAGGGATCCTCCTGTAGTCTCTCCTCGCGGCTTTAGGGTGACATGCAGCCTGGCCACCTCCGTCTTTCTTAGCGTGGCAATGGCGTCTTTATATTGACGCTTCCTGGGCACTCTCCTGCCCTATGGGCAGCGTTCTTACTCTCTTCCTCCTCCACAGTGGGTCCAGGGGATAGTTCCTGTGTGCCCTTTCTCAGCCTTTCCTCCCTTTCCATCTTGCTGTTCACCCTTCTTATGCCTCTGTGCTGGCTCTCCTCCCCCTTCTCTCCAGCTGTCCGCACTTTGAAAAAACCACGGCTAATGAGTCGCGCAGGTCCCGCCACTGGTTCCGGTCCCACCGCGGTTCCTGCAGCAGGTACGGCGTTTTCACTTATTTTCTCTTTTTCTACATTTTTCCCGGGGTGTTTTGTCCCCCAGGGCCCCTTCTTGACCCTTCGGGGTCCATGTCTTACACTTTCCCTGGGACAGTATGAAACATACATGTTAGAGGGGGTGGGAGACAATAGGTGCGAGACTGGGAGGGAAAGCGGGGGAAAGTTGACCTGGTGGTAGAATGTAACCGGTAAAATGCAGAGAAGTCACCTGGGATTATAGGATTAGGTTGTGCCTACCCTACTTTAGATCTTAAATGTTAAATAAAATGAGATCTGGTAAGAATACTATGGGAGCTTCAGCCAAAAAAAAATGGTATTGCAAGTAGTGGTATCTACTAGTGTGGCTCACTACTGAGTCAGTACCTTATCTTGACCCTAGGTTGCAATCTTGCTGTGTTTTGGGTCTTGCCTTTGCACACACAGACCAAAGTAATAAGTAACTCATAAGCAGGATTTTAATTATTTGATGCAAGTCTGAGCAAAGACTTTATTTAGGATGTGTGTCTTATTAAAAGCTGTTTTTATCAGCTCTTTTGGTAGCAAACCGTCTACAAATGTGTTTAATTTCTTGTGTAAAGCCTTCAGTTAGAGAAACTAAGCTGTCAAATGTGAGCAGTTGAGTGTCAGGATTGGAATTATCCCCACATAAAGGTTGCTGTGTTAATATTGCACTTTTATCTAAAAACACTCTACTACAAACTGCCATGTTTACATGAGACACTGCCTGCCACATAACACGACTGCACAATAGCAACGAGCTACTGCGCAGTCAGTGTCTTGTGTAGACATGGCCACTGTGTATAATAGTCTTGTACCAAAGTTACAGATAGGTACAAGCTATAATAAATCTAGTTAAAATTTCATTCTCCACTGTGGTGCTTCTACCTCTGGTGTGGAACCTGGCATCCTTTGGGTAATACCATCATTGCTAAAAACAGACTAGCTCAGGAAGTAACAAACAGTGTATCCAATTTAAATGCTGAAATCAGTTTAGCCTGGCCGAATGTAACTTCTAACAGTTATTTCTTGTGAAAAGTGTCACAGTATCTCTAATGACTGCAAACTGCCAAACCTTAGTTTTGTTTCATCTGAAATGTTGCACTGCATGGAGAAAAAGTTGCCAAATCTGATCTCAGCCTTCTGTGTGGAGGATTTTGATGGGAGGAATAACTTGCTGTTTTGGTCTCCTAGGTTTTTAACGAGCGCTGCAGAGTTCACTACAAGCCTCCAAAGAGCCAGTGATGCAAGGAAGTTTCCTATGAAGGTGGTCTACAATCATGATCAAAGCTGGAAGAGACATAGGACAAACTGTATGGGACCTTTCCAGAACCAGTAGAACCCAGTCTCATTGTTTTCACTTAGCTGGAATCTTAAGTTTAAGTGATTCTCTTAATTGAGAGAAACCAACTCCTATTTTGTACGAAATATGTGAAACCACTTTTATAACTAATAAAATGATTTTCAGACCAGATCTGATATTGTCATGTTTTCTTGATTATACCCCGCCCCCCGCTTGGAGCTGTGGTACCTCATTGAGAAGTACAGCTCTGGATCTACCCTATTCATATGCTCTCCCTTTGCTGGCTACCATGTGGGGGCTGGAGGGGGATGTCCCCTCTCCTATTGCTACAGGGCTGGGTGGGGGGGGAATGGTTGCCACGTTCCTCAGCAGTGTTGGGTGTTCGTGGCAGCCTGGGCTGGGGCTGGGAATGGGGCTTTGCCAGGTCCAGAGAGGTGATCCTCCCCCTTTATGCGGCACTGGTCAGGCCGCAGTTGGAGTACTGCATCCAGTTCTGGGCGCTGCACTTCAAGAGGGATGTGGACAGCATAGAAAGGGTCCAGAGGAGGGCCACTCGCATGATCAGGGGACAGCAGGGCAGGCCCTATGAGGAGAGACTACAGGACCTG